TTAAGGTTTTCTTCAAGGTACTTATCTAGGGCTTCTATCTCTGTCTGGTTGAGTCTGTAGATTTTGTTGAAGCGTGGTTCCCTCCCTTTTTTGAGGGGTATTTTGTGGTTGAAACTGGTGTGTTCAGGCAGTCCTGTTTCTAATTCGGCTGCAAAGAGTTTCTCATACACTCTATATTCTTCTGGGATAGACAGAAGTGGATCGTTCTTCTGTTTGAGATCTATCGTTATCAGTGGTTATAATATAGCTTCTTTTGCTTTAAGGTAACAGAGGTATCGTTTTGCTGTTCCTTGTCGTATTAATTCGTTTGAGGCCTGATTCTGACAGGGCTGCTTAGGGACTGAATCATCGTGGTCCTAATGGAGTTAGCCTTTGCTCCAATCTATCTGTGGGTTGCTTGTTTGTAGCTAGGGTAGTCTTAGCACTATGTTGTATATTCCTAGATCGGCAATATCAAATTGGATTCTTTCTTTTTGATTCAGGTAGCTCATCTCGAGGGGCGCAGTCTCATTATAGATGGTACCTCCTTCGTACTTGAATTCTTCTCCTTCTGCTGTGTGTAACTGATATGGTCGTTCTTTTCCTCCCCATCATATTTCTAGCCTATTGATGGCTCGGGGGGTAATGAAGTTTGCTTCAGCTCTGCTGTCGATCAGCATAAGTGTTGTCTGCTGGTTGATAGTAACTTCAAGTTTAATATTACCCTTATATCCTTATGTCATTTAGTGAATAGATCTTATGTTTGTTGCCTATTATGATCTGTCGTCAGTAGGCGAGTCTAGTTTTTTGACTGCTCTAGTTATCCTAGGTAGGTGATCTGCTTTCCCTCTCATCATGCTTTTGCGAGGCTGTTTTCGCAGATCCTAACCTATAGGGGTCTAGGTCTATTCTTTGCGATTCTCTAGGCTTATGCCTTTTCTTAGTAGTAAACTTAGCATTCGTCTTATTAGTATTCATCCTATTTCATGCTGTCGTCATATTAACATCTTATAGGGAACTAAGGACTAGGTCTAAAGACTGCAAGGTTGTCTTCGAATAGTACTATAGTCTATCCGATCATAATGGAGGTTAAGTAGATCTCATGGATAGGTTCGTCGTTATGTCTTCTGGGGTAGAACTAGTAGTTATGCTTTTCTCCTATGTGTTCCTTATATTTATCGTGGAAGCACTAGGGCCAGAAGAGGGTTCAGTGAAGCTGGTGGTTGCTTCTCAGTGTGGGATGATCTTTCGTGTATAGCTGAGGGGTGTAGCCTCAGTCTCATTAGGCTGCTGAGGTGCTATAGAAGTGGCGTTATTGCTTGTTTTAAAGCATATTGATTTCTTAGTATCTCAGAAGTTGCTTGATTCTTCCTTCCTGGTCGTTAGGTTCCTCTTCAGAGCTAGAGTCATCCACACTAGGGGTGAACCTATAGGTGATCTCTGTCTGAGCGCATTATCGGGTAACGTCGCAAGGTTTATCTGAGTCATAGGAAGAGCTTTCTCCTTCTCTGAAAGCCTAGTTGTTGGTCATACTGAGGAGTTGTTGTTCTATCAGAGGATTATATTGGTGTTCTGGTTCTTCTTCTGATTCTTATTATTGATATAGTTATATTTGTCTGTCGTCTTCTTGCTGGATTAGCTCTATTTCCTTCTTGATTTGTTGTTCTTTATAGTGGAGTTGCTAGCTAGTTATATAGGGGGTGATTAGTTCTAATCGCTAAATTTATAGCATCTCGTTAAGTTGTTCAACTGGTTTTCTAGCCACTTTGCTGTTGCTGGAATGCATTATTGCCAGGGTCCTAGGGCGAGTGTCTGGGATGGTTATATTATAACCAGACCGTCCAGGGTTGCTATCCCTTAGGTAGTGTCCTAATATTTCTTTATCTTTAAGGTGAATTCAGCAGTTGTCGTTATAGCATCCAGTCTATAATTAGGATGCATATAGGGCTTTTGCAATTATGTTGACTTATTGAGGTTGTTCTGCCACTGGTCTTCAGGGGAGCTTCTTAGGCTGTCTGCAGTCTTTAGCGATATAGCCTTACTTATTGCAGTTGTAGCACTTAGGGTTCTAAGGTTTTTTGTTGTTAGGTTTGGTCATTATGCTGAGATCTATAGGTCTGCTGTGTTATCTATAGGCGGTGCTCTGGCGGGTGTTATTCTAGTTGTTGCAGGGTCTGTTGTCGTTCTGCTAGCTGTTAAACTTCTGTTGAGGCTGCTATTAGTACTTACGTCCTGAATTTAGGTTTTATCGTTTCTCTCCTTATTCCTTTTGTCGTTTATAGAGGCGGTTGTCAACCTTAATAGCATGTTCGACGTAGGCGAGGAAGCTAGGAGGTGTCTCCAGTTTAGCTATTTCGTCTTTGACATCATCCTTAAGTCCTTGATAAAAGGCAAAAACTTTGCTTTCGTTAGTTATATAGAGTCTTGCAGCTAATCGCCTAAACTCTGCGGCGTAGAGCGTAGCTGACTTAGTTTGTTGTAGGTGGGATAGGTCTCGCTCAGCCTGTCTTTGTTTATCAGGGTCAAGGAAGAGAGATTCTAGGGCCTTAATATAGCCTGTGAAGCTGAAGAAGATATCCTTAACTTCTTAGCTGTATTTTTCAACAGGGTTATTAAGCTATTCCTGTTTAAGGGGTTCAAACCAGGCAAGGGCTTATCCCTAAAGGAAGGTGGCTGCGTGTACAACACGTTTAGTGTCGTTCTGGAAGGTGTTTATGTGGAAGGCCTGGTAGGTTCAAACTTATACCAGGTGTCCTTTAAGTTATCCTGGGGTCCTGTTAAAAGTGGAAGGCGTGTTAAGCTTGAGGCGTTCTTATCCTTCAACTGGGGCGGATATGACGTTAGCGGCAGCTTAGAGGGTGGCGACTTCTTTCTCTAGATCCTAGTTCTTGCAGGCTTATTCCTGGAGTTCGCTAAGGGCCGCTGCGTTCTGGTTGAACATTTCGCGCATTGCCTTAAAGTTGCTGTTAGTCTTGTTAAGCTGGCGCTTAAGTTCTTTGGTGTCGTCCTCGCTGTCTGAGTCGTCCTTTATCTTCTGGTCTCCTAGTTCCTAGGCTAGGTTTTAGGTGGTTCGTCCTCCTGAAGTGGACGAGGATCCCAGGGTAGGCGACTTAACAGAGGCGTGGGAAGATATTATCGTTCTTTACTGTTAGTAGGAATTAATAGTCAACTTACTGAACAGGAGTAATCAAAGTGTTATGGTCAGCTATCCGACAGTAGGGTCTGCTAACAGAAGCTGGGGATTAATACGTTCTAACAGTATACTGGGTTGTGGTCGTAGGTCGTAGTTCGTAGGCTGTAGTAGATTAGTTCTTCAGAGGCTAAGGTGATCAGTCTTAGACTTAATAAGTGATTCGCAGTGAAGGTAAGCTGAGAGTATCTATGAGGATGAGTACTAAGTTGATTGCTGAAGAGCTATAGAAGTTTGACCATAAGCCAGGCTCAGGGTCATACTATATATAAGTCTAAGTAGTTTCTTTAAACTGAGGACCAATATCTTCTGAGCGGTCCCCAGGTGTAGACCGCTTTCTTTATGTCGGTCCTAGGTCAGGACCGCTTATCTCTCGTCGGTCCTTCTTATCGTCATGTGACCTATACTATAGTTCTTCTGTCTCCGAGTGAGTCCCTGTTGTTCCTATGATCCTGCAGTACAAATATCTTATCCTAGCCGCCCGATGCCTAAGTAGGTCGGTCAACTGTTATCCATACATAACAGGTCGTAACACTAAACCCTATATCAAGTAGCTAATCACATAACAGGGAATTCAGCCAGGCCAGAGAGCCCGACCGACCGATAGAACGCAGGCAGGGTTAAAAGTAGATCAAGGAGAAAGTATATGGAATTAAGGGGCAGGAAGGTGAGGTTATAAAAAGAGGATAAGAGGAATCATTTAATAGTAGCAGACCAAAGCAAGCTATCTATATAGCTAAACATAGAGCTATTTGTCCATAACGCGCAGTATTCCATTCTGATATGCATATTATGTCAGTATGCAGTAGTAGCAAACGAAGTTGCAGCATATCTGCAAAACCACTATCGGTTAATCACTGCTGAGGCCAGGGTAAAAGTGGCTAGATTAGTTAGCAACATCCTAAGCATCATCTGCAGCCAGGCTGATTTGGAGTTGTTCTAATACCTAGACCCCACAGTTAAGCCAGTTGCCTATATCGCACCACCCTAAACAGATGGTTTACGCTGCCACGCATGCCGTTATGTTTGCCGCTGCGTGCGAAACATGCAGGAGCATTATCGGGCAGAACACAGATAGGAGAATGATTAGCAGAAGGGGGGTGATGTTCGCAAGAAAGCCACCACAGTCAGGGATTTGCTATGGATAACAGAGGTGCTATGCTAGCGGTTTTTCTTAACGCAGGATGCAAGCGGATAGTTTGAGGTGGCCTAGAGGCAGACAGCCCATAAGTCTCTGCAAGCCGCTCCAAACAGAAGCCCAGGCTGGCAGGCTATAGACTGCGTTTGAGATCTCCAGAAAGTCTAAGCAGAACGTGTGAAGACCAGCCACAATAAGCTAATCTGTGTTGCTAACGAAAGGTTAGAGCCCAGCCTGTGGCTAGCCTGTGTGGGATAGGCGGTGCACTTAAAAGGGCTTAGTGCCAGCGCAATCTTCAACACAACAGCTCCTATTAATAAAGATGAGGTTATGCTTCAGGCGATGTGGGCAACAGTTGAGCGCGTGCTGGACCAGGCTTGAGCAACGTCTGCGCCTAACACTGTTGGGCTGGCTGTGCTGTTTGAGGCGCAGCATATAGAAGCGCACGTCAAGCTAAGGCGGCTGTTTGACAACCGCATAGAGGATGATATGTAGGCGAGATATAAGGGCGTGTGGCTATATCTGCTGTGTGTCTGGTTCTGCACGCAGGAAATAGACGACAATAAGCAGCCACTATATAAACTGACGCTGTCACAGGCAGAAGCGTGGGACTTATTTAAGCAGATGGCGGAAGCAGCCAGCATAGGTATAGAGGATCAAACGCAGGAGAAGCTGGAATGCGCAGCACTCAACATGCTTATCAGCATGCTGGACCACCAGCTGAAGGGTGGAGACTACAGCAGTGCTCTTCTCAGCGCACTCGCAGTGATAGGCATTGCTGAGGATAGCGGCTGGGTTCAGATCACAGACTACACGACGAAGTACTCAGCTGTAGTTAAGGTGGCGCGCATGCTGGTGATCCATCAGGCATACACCAAACGTCGTGATGAGGTTGCTAAGCTGGAAATATCTCTAGGGAAGGATGAAGCAGAGGACGTAGCGCAGAGTTTGTTCCAGCACACGCAGGCGAAGGTACAGCAGTTTATAACGCAGACGACAGGCGATAAGGATGCAGAGCTGACACTGATAGACTGGATTCTCAAGACGCAGACGTATAGAATGCATATCTAATATAATATAGCAGCAGCTGGCGTTATAGACTGGTTAGGTGATTGCATATCATACAGATAGGTATGGTTTATAATAGGGCAGCTGTTAGACGCACTATATAAGCTGGTCCAGGAGACGCAGGAGATGCTTGCAGGGCTGATGGCGACAGAGGATTTAGCTTTGCCAGACGGTCCTAAAAGCAATATCTAGTTGTAACTACTAGCTATCCTATTATTATTAATTAAAGACAACCACAGCAAGATAAAGCCTAGGTATTTATTTCTCGCTAACGACCGCAACAGCTAGGTCTCCGCTAGGGATGGATAGCTATTTATGCGGCTGGTGTGGTCACCTGCTGCTGCAGAACAGTGGGGACTTAGCAGCATAGGCAATAGTTGCAGGACGACAGACCAGCTATTCCAGCCGTCAGCTGTATAAGAGTTCAGGAGGACGTTCAAACAACTCTGCAAGCGACTGTAGATGCTTCTGCACATGCTTAGCAGGCAGCTAGCGCAGGCAAGCAAGCTTGCTAGTCTGCAGACAGTTAACACAGTTAACAGGGGCGTCTGCAACATACTAGTGCATAATAAGATGTTATGCTTTGTCACAGCGTACTACAAAGGGTATAAGACGACCAGGCAGGCGAAAGTGATCCACTGGTATCTGCTGAGGGAGGTTGACAAGCTTATAGTATGGTATCTATAGCTTATCTTGCCGTTCTGGCAGGAGGTGCAGGGCATTATAAATAAGGCCAGCGCATATAGTGCGTTTATATAGGTGGATAACATCACCTAGCAGAGGGACTTAGAAGAAAGCAGTGCAGCAGCAGGATCAGAAGAGCAAAGTGATGATAATATAGATGTTAGGGATAGCAACAATCATATTATAAATGCAGATGAGGCTGGTGATAAGAGCATAAGTGTGGGCGACTAGATGTGGAAGGATAAGCAAACGTGGACGACAGACAGAGCGCAGCAGATTATACAGCAGACCAGCATAAGACTGCTGGGATGCTAAGTCAATATAAGCATATAGCAGCATATCGCTATCAGCATTACTAACTGCTACTTAAATAAGTCGTTCAGCCGGCTAGGCGGAGAAGAAGGTGGCTTAGGATCAGAGGAGGGAACAGATGAGGTTAAGGACAGCCTGTGGGACTTGCAGGCAGGATATAGCATACAGCTGGCGGGTATGATCTACGCATGAGAGCTTATGCAGTTCAGCAGCAGTCTTATAGCGAGGCAGCAATAGTTCCACAAGGTCAGCCGTCAGTAGCATAGGTTTCTAGGCTTCAGCGCTAAGGATTCAGAGTCGAAATAGGGTTCCACAGGCTGCAAGAGGAAGAAGACGGAGGCGTACGAAGGGCCATAGATAGAGGCGAGGCTCTAACGGTTTGAGAAACTGAGGAGGATCAACTTAGAGGGCCAGCTGCAGCAGATAACAGGGGACGACTCAGCAGGGTTCCAGGGAAACCAGAGAGAAGCAGTGCTTACTATCGCCAGCAGGCACACGCCGATTATGCAGGTGATAGGGATAGGCGGCAGCAAGAGCGTGTCGTTTATACTGCTGGCATTCTGCTCGCCAGACGGAGTAACAGTGGTTATAACGCTGCTGGTGGCGCTCCAGACAGATCTACACAGGCGATACGTTAAGGCGGGGATCACTTCGCACGTATAGCAGAGCTGGAAGAACAACCAGGCGGCGTCCATCATCTTCATCACGCCTAAGTCGGCTGTTATAAAGGGGTTCAGAGACTTTATCGCACAGCTGGAAGGGAGGCAGGTGCTAGACTGCGTTGTTATAGATGAGTGCTACGTTATGCTTAAAGGATCACAGAGCTTCCAGCTGCAGCTCAGAGAGCTTAGAGAGGCGATCTATAAGTTTGGCGTACAGATGATATGCTTAACAGCAACGCTCACGCTGACAGATAAAGTAGCTTTCTTCCACGCGATACAACTAGAGGCTTCTAGGGTTAGCATATTCTGAACAGCAATAATACATAAGAATATATAGTATTCTATCGTCACAGCAAGTAGCGCGGCCCCACGGGACGGGTCGGGCCAGGGTAGGGTTAGGCAAAACGAAAAAAAACGGGACATATTTATTGACATTTCAACGAAGCAACACATATATAGGTACACAAGGTATTAAGATGGACAGTTAGATTAATAGATAGTCGTAGCAGCAGTAGTGAACTAGGCTAGCGAAGTTGATAGAGGAACCAGTGCCATGCCATGCCCTCGGGGGCATCAACCAGCTCACGCCCTTGGGGGCATAGAAAGTGCCACACCCTCGGGGGCATCAATCAGCTCATGCCCTTGGGGGCATAGAAAGTGCCACGCCCTCGCGGGCATCAACCAGCCGATGCTAGGAAGTTTGATAGCCTCCCATAAAGCTTCGTTCAACAGCGTCCGCTTGGAAAGCGTAAAAGTTTCTATGCTTTTACTTACCTATATCTTCCTTAGCATCGATATCTAGACGCCTAGGCAGGCTAGTCCCACTGCTAACCCCCGCAGGCGCTCAAGTGAAGATGTGCCTACCTGCATGGCTCTCCCAGAGCCTGTATGAGTTGCTACTCAGCCCGGTCCTGTCTATCCCAAGAGGAGGAATACAATCGCTCGAAAGATAGCAAAATCCCTAGAAGGAGGAGGATAGTATAGAGCATAGAACGACAATCCTAGTAAGCATATAGAGCTGGCCAACAGGGAGCACGATATATATAAACAGCCTCAGCAGGAGTAGCAATAGATATATTCACCGATAGATAGATGAACAGATGAATAGAGGAAGAGGAGATTGAGGGTAGAGAAAACGGGGGACGCGTAGGAGATAGAAGAGGGTTAGATATCCTTGGCTATCCACGCGTTTGGTCTAGGCGTGTTTGTCCGCGAGAAGTAAGACCCTGGCCGGAAGCGGACTAATGTATAATGTCGCGTTAAGAGTGAGACCAACGCGTCAAGCAGGGGCAAGACAAGAAGGCCAGCTAACCATAGGATAAACCATCACAAACTCCATCGTCCTAGATAAAGAGTATATCAGGGCACCAGTAAGCAGATATCCGCGCAAAGCCTCAGTCAGTATATAGACATTTGTAAAGGGTGACAGGAAGCATGTTTACTTATGGTATACAGCAAGATGTGCAACTCAGACAGCGCAAATTCATCGTTAATGGGCAAGGGAGAGCCAAGGGAGGACCTCAGGTAGGTCCGGGGCCCTGTTGGTCCCGACCCACTCCATCGGAATAAGCCAGGGCCCGACAGCCGTTGATTATGTAATAGCTAGTTGAGTATCCAACCGGCCGAGCAGATCACTGTGAAATTATGAGTTTGGGGAAGCAAATCGCAAATAGCCCTGCGCATAACGTTCTACCTAGGATAAGGGCAGATGGGATAGTTTAGATAGGAGCGAGCAAAGTGATCTAGAACTCAAACAGGCAAAACAGGCCATCATATAAACAGGTAACATTTTTTCTAAGAAATTTTATCACAACATTAGAATGTTATTGTTCTACAGGGTATGATCATCAACACCGCCACCTAGACAAGATCTGGGAGCAAAGGTTAACATAAGACGCGCTATACTGCAGGTTAAATATATCTACATATCATTACGTATAAACAAGTAGCCGGATCACTACCACTTCTCTTTCTAGTTATAGTCATACATAGGTTGGGCTATGATACCTCAGCTCTAAGGAGGGTATTTCCAACCTTACAACAGACCCTATGTTCAACACCTCTCCCCAGAGTTGTTCCTCAACTAGAAAACAGGAGGGAGCATACGCAGTATAGGCAGGCATAGCTTGTCCTTATTGCCCTAGACTCGTCAGATACCCAGGGCGTCCCAGGAGCTAGCACAGCCAGTGACCCAGCCAGTTAAGGGCGCCAATCCTGAGTATGAAAGACGTGCGATTATGGGGGTAGGACAGCTATTTATCCAGAGGGCGACTAATAGTGCGTATAAGTGTTCATAGCACCACCTATCATAGGTGTATTCCGACGCCTGATCTGTTTATTACCTTACAGCATGACCTGAGGTTAGTTATGCCGCTGCTGCTGCTGCTGCTACCGGACGTGAATACGCTAACTGTGGTGGGGTGAGTCAGCTCCCTCTGCTGCGTAGCCGTCCCCCACCTAGCATATAAAAACATAGAAGATTAGTGTACTACAGCAGCCTCGGACCAATCGCATCCGGCCGCCCTGCCAAATACGCACCCCTTCCAAGCATCCATCATCCCATCTTCCCGTCTCATTTGTGCACACATCTCATCTGATCACAAGCACCCCCACCCCCTTAACCACCTATCCCTAAGCCCCCAGGGGCAAGAAAGACAAGAAAATTAACGAAGAAACAACAGGAACAGCCAGCACAGGCTATCAGGCGGCAGTTGAAAAATACACTGCATATCACCGCAATGGCCAGAGTGCTCAGCGACAAGCGGAAGAGGAAGTGTGATGAGGGCGATAGAAAGAAAGCAGCAACAGCGGCATCAGCATCAGGGCTGAGGAGGCGGGTCCGGGCCAGGAGAGAAGATGAGATCAGCTCCCCCTTTACAGAAACATCGTCCGCGCGAGAACGGGCGCGACCTTTCCTCCTCGCCGTTGCCAGGATGCCCATCGACGTGCTGGACACAGCCTGGAGCGTCGGCAGGAACCGCCCTATTAACGCAGCCCACGTCCAGGAGCTGTTACACGCATTCAGGAGCGGCGGGCTGGAACGGCGGGCGCCGGAGAACCGGATCACCGTCCTCTGCAGCGCCGAGGCAGTCAGCCTTATGCAGCAGGACGGTGGCGGCATAGAGGGGCGAGAGGAGGACGACGGAGAGGACGACAACGATGATAACGACAGTCCTTGCGAGCTCTCCTTTTTACGCTGGGCCGAAGTGAGCGGGGGCCAGGCCGAGGTCATGGCCGGCCAGCACCGTATCCAGGCGCTCCGCGAGTACGTCAAGGAGACGGGCGCACCAGGCTCCGACCTATGGTGGGCGTGCGAGCTGTATGACAAAGGTATAGCCCCCAAGC